AAAAGCAAGTGTTTTGGTGGAAGCCTGTGGTCCCAGCTACTCAAGAGGCTGAGGCAAGAGAATCAATCGCTTGAGCCCAAGAGTTGCAGGTTGCTGGGCGCTATGCTGATGCCATGGCACTCTACCGAGGGTGCCAGAGTGAGACTCTGTATCAAGAAAACAAAAGATGGGCAGTGTCTGTGGCTCAAAGGAATAGGGTGTCAGCCCCATATGCCAGAGGTGGCAGGTTCAAACCCAGCCCTGGCTAAAAACTGGAAGAAAAAAAAAAAAAAGAAAAGGAAAGAGAAAGAACGGATTGAGAAAAACTAAAATACTCAATCCAACTGGGGTATGATGGTGCAGGCCTGTAGTCCCATCTACTCAGCAGGTTGAGATGGAATCATAAACACAAGTACTCAAGTTACCAACATCCATCTGAGTCCAGGAGTTCAAGGTTGCAGTGAACTATAATTCTGCCATAGCACTTGAAACTACACAACAGAGTATGAGACTTTATCTCTAAGAAAATAAGAAATAAAATTTGATTCAGAAACGAGCAAGAAAGAAAAAAGGCATTTAAAAGGCTGGACAAGGGCTGGGTGTGCCTGTAATCTTAGTACCTTGGGAGGCCATCATGGGTGGATTGCCTGAGCTCGGGAATTCCAGACCAGCCTGAACCAAGCAAAATCCCTTCACTATTATAAATAGAAAAAAACTAGCTGTGTGCTGTGGTAGATGCCTGCAGTCGCAGCTAGTCAGGAGGCTGAGACAAGAGGATCACTTGAACCCAAAAATTTGAGGTTGCTGTGAGCTACGATGTCACAGCACTCTACTCAGGGAGACAGAATGAGACTCTGCCTCAGAAAAATAAAGAAAGAAAAGGCAGGACAAGAAGAAATAAAAATATAAATGGACTAAAGAAAAAAATTCATGGAACTACATGAAGGAATTCTGAATTATTTTACATATCCTTTTAGGCCACTAGAGCAGTATTTTTCAACCTTTTTAATTTCAAGGCACATTTGCACCTACAGTTAAACTTTCACAGCACACTTAAATCATGTTGATCAAAAAAAGGAGTGAAAGGCTTGGCACCTGTGGCTCAAGTGGCTAAGGCGCCAGCTACATACATCTGAGCTGGCGGGTTGGCATCCAGCCCAGGCCTGCCAAACAACAATGA